TGTTCCTGCATTCATAGTGTATCTGTTTCCAATTTAGTTTAAGCACTTTTGACTGGAACTTGGGATTGTTTAAACATTGCAGACTGTTTTCACTAGAGAACAGTGTGAGAGGTGTTGGAACCAGAACAGAAGTGCTGTTGTTCGAGAAAAGTAAGATGTGTGGCAGAGGAGGCACATTGTAACAGCATTTGGAAGTGGTGCCCATGAAAGTACGTTGGAAAAGACAAAACACATTAATGCAGGGGACTTTTGTTTTTAAGTTAAGCATTTTTTTTTTTTTTTTTTTAATGTCTATTCAGAAAGGGGAGGAGAGAGAGAGAAGCATTAATGATGAGAGAGTCATTGATCGGCTGCCTCCTGCACACCCCCCACTGGGGATCGAGCCCGAAACCCAGGCATGTGCCCTGACCAGGAAATGAACCGCAATCTGGATCCCAGGTCCATGCTCAGGCACTGAGCCAGGCTGGCCTGGGGAGGGAGGGGTGGACTTTTTAGACTTTACAAAGGTAACTACACCAGTCTTTACCCTAGTCCTTTAACTTTAAATAGCTAAACATGGATGATGAGACCTGGTGGAATTCTGCTGGCTTCAGAGTGGAGAAAACCCTGGCTTTGGGTTACCGTTCCAGCTCTGCCTCTGAACAGTAGGAATCTGAGATATGAGTCATAAGCTTGTGTTTCATTTCCTCATATGAATGGTGGGGTAAAATTCAGTCTTTCAAAAAAGATCCGCCATGAAACATAATCTCAATTCTTAAAACAGTTACAGGAAATAAAATCAAATTTTAAAAAATCATAAAATCAACATTTAGACAAAATTCGACCTTTACTTGGAACAGCCAGCACTGGCTTCATCGCCTGCCACCTTCGGTGATGCTGAATTTTTACATTTTTCCTTATACACCTCGTGACTTAGAACATGCTGTTCTCATATGGAATGCTATTTCCTGTGTAAAGTCTTATCTGTTAAGCTCAATGGACAAGAGGCTTTTTCCCTTAAGGCTTAAATTGCCTCCTCTTGGTACGCAGCATTTTATTTAAAGCTTTGCTAAGGCCATTACCATATAATCGTATAACTTACAGAATTAAGACTGTTTCCAGTTTATAAGCTATGGTGATTTGTGCATTTACTTAACAAATTTAACAGAATTTACAGTGTTAGCAAATTGTAACCACTTTTTTTTTTTTTTTGGTAACCACTTTATACAAATTTCTACAGTTTGAAAATTTGAGGCATACTCATTAGAATTATTGCATTGGTGGGAATATAAAATGGTGCATCTACTTTGGAAAACAGGTGGTTCCTGGAAAAAGTAAAATAGGATTACCATGTGATCCAGCAATCCCTCATCTAGGTGTATATCTAAAAATTAAAAGCAGGATTCAAACTGATATTCATACACTGTGTTCACAACATTGTTTACAATAGTCAAAAGATGGAAGCAACCCAAATATCCATCAATGAATGGATAAAAAAATATATAATACATACAATTCAGCCTTAAAAAGAAAGGAATTCTGACACATTCTGTAACACAGATGAACCTTGAGGGCATTATGTTAAGTGAAATAAGCCAGTCATAAAAGGAAGTGAGGAGAATAAATACTATGATTCCACAGACGTGAGGTATCTAAGGTAGGCAAACTCCTAAGAAGGAAAGGGGTGGTTGTCAGAGTAAGAAAGGGGAAGAAGAGTGGTTGCGTAGTAAGTATAGTTTCAGTTTTACAAGATGAAGTTCTGGAGATCCATTGCACAACAATGAATATACTTCACACTACTGAACTGGACACTTACAAGTAAGGTGGTAAAGTTGAGTTACTGCCTTTTTTTAAATTTCAGGGCAAAGGCTTTCGACTTGCATAAGCAGTTAAGTCAGACGATATATAAAGTTTGAAAAAAATCTGATCACTTCCAGACAGTGCTTGCTAAACCTCAACTGAAGTTTATTTCTGAATTAGAACATTGATGTAACATGTCAAAGTTGATTTGCATTTAAATTCCGGCTCAGCACAGAATCAGGCTTTGTTTTTCACTCCTGGTGCTACTTGAATGGGGGG